CTAGGACATTAGCTGTATCATTGAGAGAAAAGCCTTCAAATGCACATTGAAATGCTATAGTCATGATAGCAATTCAGGATGCTTGGCAAAGGAGGAACTTTTCCCCAGTACACAAGGTCCATCAGACCGCTAATATGCTCAAATACCCTCTTTCAGTCATGATGCTGAGTGGTTTCTTTGACAGTATCCACTGAGGCAAGGTGGTATCCCACTTGGCAGATGGGAAAGCTAGAGCATAGTGAGCCAAAACGATGTTCCCATGATGCCGGAGAGGGCATGTAGCAAATCATGAGAAGAAATCTAAGATCTTATCTCTGAGGTCTCTGGGAAATGATGCATTAATATTCATAAGTGTACCAACTTTCTCATTGTCAAGAGTAGGGAGATGTGTGTTGAAATGTGAGCTGTGAAAGGTCAGGCTTTTTGACTCAGAAAGTGGCTTTATTTCTATAAATAACAATCTGCAGATTCCCACCAATGTTGTGCTTCCAGCTGACCTAACAGTTGTCCCATACAGGCTTAAGTTGACATATGGTTGCAATCACCTTGGCTGCTGTGGCTGGAATATTGTAATTCAGACCTGCACTGGCTGATAGTCTTTGTTCAGAACTGCAATTTTAGAAGATCACAGAATCACAGAATGGTAGGGGTTGGAAGGGACCTCTGTACGTCATCTAGTCTAACTGCCCTGCCGAAGCAGGGTCACCTAGAGCAGGCTGCACAGGACCTTGTATAGGTGGATTTTGAATATCTCCAGAGCAGGAGACTCCACAACCTCCCTGGGCAGCCTGGGCCAGGGCTCCGTCACCCTCAGAGGGAAGAACACCCACCCTTCAGATATTTGTAAGCATTTATAAGGTCCCCTCGCAGCTTTCTCTTCTCCAGGCTGAACAAGCCCAGCTCCCTCAGCCTCTCCTTGTAGGAGAGATGCTCCAGTCCCCTCATCATCCTCATAGCCCTGCGCTGGACTCTCTCCAGTAGCTCCTCATCTTTCTTGCACTGGGGAGCCCAGAACTGGACACAGGACTCCAGATGGGGCCTCACTAGGGCAGAGCAGAGGGGGTGGAGAACCTCCCTTGACCTGCTGGCCACACTTCTCTTAATGTACCCTGATCTGCCTCTTCTGTTGCGATTCATACGGTTAATAGTAAACCCTCAGAAAGAAGTGCACTTGGTGACCTGAGAGCTGAACTGTGTATCAGGAGTTGTACTGTCCTTCCTAGAGAGGTAACCTATAACTGATCCATTTTCTGTTCACTGTAGACACCAGTACAGAATCTATTTGCAGACCTTGTTTCCTGTACTCGGTAGTGTGTAAATGGCAACACTCTTGATCTTGACCCTCTGCAGCTTCTCCACTTCAACAGCATAATTACGAAAAATCAGCCCTACCACTTAAGTTACTCTTGCAGTGAACATCTCCAGCTGTGGTCAACAGGACATGTGTGTGCGTACATATATGATTAATAGCTACATATTTGCAGAGTAATGGTAAGTTTCCAGGAGACAGTTTCACTCAAACACAGGTGCAAGGTTTTTAGTGGTAACTGTATGGGACCATTGCTCATTTGAGGATAGTCCATTCTGGACTTCTAGGATAATTCCATGTAGGAGGAAGCATTTCCAGATATTTGGAAGGATACAGTCTTAGCCAAGAATTTAATGTTTTTTGAATGTTGATACGTTGCTGTTAGTGCTTTGAGTAAGTCTCGTTCTTTTTTTTTCCCCCAAGTTCTGCCAAGCAGCCTATATCTCTGCATTTCTCCTGCATGTGTTTTTCAAGAGCGAATAGTAAACTCACAGTGTATTGTCTTTTATCAGAGGGTGTTTTTTTTGGCATAGTTTACCAAATATCTAATGTAGTATCAACATAAAACATACGTTTCTGTCACCTGTGTCTCAGTCACATGATGTATGGAATAATCTCAACTTCTACTTAATAAAAAGAGAGATGAGAGCACCAAACATAGGGAGTACAGCGATAGAGAAGCAGACTCAGCTGTCTGCCAAGTACTTATGGTTTCTCAACACTTGAGAAGCTATCACTGTCTCTGCCTCTCAGCTTCTCTGTTACGTATATGACTGGGCAATGAAAAGGAGGTGAAAAGCTGATCTGCTTAGTGTTCAGCCTGAGAAGTCCCAAATGCTCCGCTGTACCAGAATGCAGGTCTGTTTTTCAGGACTAATCTATGCTGATCCTAGCTGGTACAACTGTTATGCAACTGTGCAGGCACTGGGAATAGCCAGAGTACGCTATACTGTAGTTGTGTACTTTACCAGGCCACGATGGAAGCCTCTTGCCATCTGGAAATTTCTTTGTGCCACAGTAGTACAAAAGGCACCCTGATATGCACCTGAATTCTGTACCCAGCACCCTGGCATTTGCTCTTTAGGATTCCCTTGTACCGTGGCTTTGAGAAGTTCTGCTTTTCCAGCTGACAAAAAAACCCAGTCAATAGATAAATACCATACACCTGAGGCTTTTTTATCACCATCTATCATAATTAGAGGGAAATCAGAGTCATCATTGTGCCTGCACTGGTGAGTTCTTATGGCAGTTTTTCAAAGTCATCCATACTCATTGTGCCGGTTGCTTTGTATAGATGGTGGTGTTCTTGGTAGAAGAGAGAGGATGTGAAGTCTCATTACTTAATTTCAGCTTGGGCAGTTACATTTTGCCTGCCTGATTTCTCTACTGTGATTTCAGGTGAATATTTGCTTCCATCTTTATATACCGTGATATTTTGTTCTCTTTAAAGCACTGATGAATTTCACACCAGACGTGTCTGCTTTTGGTCATGCAGGATGAAATGTGGCTTGCAAACATAAAGAATAATTAGTATTATTTATGAACCAAATGAACAATTCTGCAGAAGTATTAAAAGGAAAGCTGGTTAATATGCTTAGGAAATATTAAATGTTCAGGTACTCTCTCCTGACCACCAAATGTATTAAACCTGTGAGGAAAGAGCTGATGAACTGTCTTCACCGAGGCAGATTTTGAGCTTATTTTTTGAGGAGTCTACTTCAGTTCAGTCGCAGCTGAAGGAGCCCTGAGATAGAGTTCTGGATTGGCCCATTGACTGTGCAATATTGCCAGACAAGGACTTCAGTGACTATACTTCCAAAGAAAAGTGGATAACGGACTTCCGTCCACAAAGAACTAATTAGATTAGTGGTACTCTCCTGTCTTGACTTACTGAACGTCTGAAATTCTTTTCCTGAGTTGTTGTGATTCTTGAGTCATTTCACCTCCCCTGAAGTGTGTCTCAGTGCCCATGTATGGAAGAATATTTCTTCTGTGATCACAACAAACGCTTAGGTTGCAAAGGACAGAGCATTTTCCTGGAAGGAGAGGGCAACATAACGATAAAATTTTCAAAAGCATGGAAGACCAAAGGAACCTAGGCTGCTTTATGCCTTTAGGTACTTTCAAGTCTGCAATTTACATTCATAAATTGTTTTAGTGCTCCTGAAAGTGTTAACCACCATCTGTTTCTTTAATGATGTTATATATGGCTCAGAAGATAAGTGTTTATGAAAAGTAAAGAAGAAGGGACTCTGGTATTTTTGATACCATCATGAAAGTGAGATTCTATTAAGGTATTCAGCAGCTTTCCAGAACGTTGAACTTTGATGGAAACTTATAGATAAAATAGTGTTTATGTACTAGATGCTTTAAAATATATACAATATCTTATTATGTGCTAGACTTGCTCTATGCCTAATACAGGTTCTGGAGCTAAAACAATAGTCTGCCTGCTTCATTCGCAGATGCTTGTAGTGGTGTGAAAACCAGACCCATGCTCATGTCATTCAGTTTACAGCCTCAAATTTTCTGAGTATTCAGTTGTGTAGGAATCGTATTTTGAAGGAGACATTCATCCTTCAAGGAGAGAAAGGAAATTTGTGAGAAAGCTTTAGAAAACACTTGACCAGGTCAGAACATGGTGGGCCTTGATAGGACCTGCCTCAAAAGCATAAAGCTACTGCCCTCGCTGTGGTAAACTGTGAAGATTACCATAGCTTTGTCAGGGAAAGATGAGTATTTGCCCACAGTTACCACATGCTTCTCTTTGAGGTATGTGTCCCTGTGCTACACATGGGATGTGAACATGATCTGACAACACACTGTGGCAGTGCTTAGCAAAAAATAGCAATGTTTTCCCTGGCATCAGAGTCATATGAATGTGCAGTGGATAGAAGTTTAGAAGCCATCGTATAGACCCTTGTGATTCTGTAAGTAAACTCCAGAAAGTGACAGTCCACAACTTTAAGCATCCAAAGAAGTGCCAGTATGGCACATGGTTATATCTCAGGCTATATTAATCACTGCCTGCAAGGAAACATCCAGAGGGAAAAAGCAATCAAAGGAGTGATCATATCAGACAGAACATACAGAAACACTTGCTATGGTTATGTGTAAACCAACCACAGGCTCTGTTTACAAACCTTTCCATCTGTTCCTTTGCCTAATCATTTCTGCTTTCCTTCTCTGTCTTCTAACTTTCCTTCGTCTTTCCAGATGCAGGACGCTATGGGCTATGAGTTACCATGGGTGTATTTTGTCAGTCTGGTCATCTTTGGATCCTTTTTCGTTCTAAATCTGGTTCTTGGTGTGTTGAGCGGGTAAGCTGACAGTTTTGGTGTCCTTTTTCCAATGCTACAGGGCAAGACTCCATAATAAGGGTTCTTCCCTGTCACCAGGATTCTTTCAGAGGGATTAAAAATCTGAATTCAAGGAAGGTTCACATCAGCTCTCAAATATTTTGACAAAATGTTCAAACATTGCAAATAACACTGCAGGTGACAAAAGAGGTGTTATTCTCTGACAAAGAAACCTCAGGGCATTCAAAATTGCTAATGTTAACCTGTCATAAATTTCCAGAAAACTGGCTATTGAAAAATCTTACTGCTGGTGACTTGGGATCTCTTTGGCTGGAGCCTTGCAGTGCTCAGAATCTGAGCTTGTCTCACTAATTATCATTCCACTCTTCCAGGTCAATGATGCCATAGGAAGGGACTGGCCCTGGATCTATTTTGTTACACTAATCATCATAGGGTCATTTTTTGTACTTAACTTGGTTCTCGGTGTACTTAGCGGGTAAGCAGTACCAGGAAAATGTTTTGTTATTGTTTATTTTTTAAAATTTGTATTTCTATTCCTACTCTCTGGTTACCAAAACAACGGGCAGTGGTGGGTTGATCTCAGGAACCTTAATAGAAGGCCTAGGCTATTGCTGTGCTAACAGCAAAAGATGGCATTCCTAATGGTGTGGAAGGAGTCTTTTGACTAAATCAAAGGACTTCAAGACAATTTTTTGCTAGTAACTTGTTCCTCTTACCTAAAATCTCTGCCTGCGCTCTGAGGGAAGAGGACAATGCTACGCTCCCCTGTAGGTGAAGCGTACTATTCACCATAGAAGGGGATTAGAGTAAAACTTCTGGAAGAGTCAGTGGGGCTGAAGGAGGAATGAGAACATGAGACAAATGCGTTTGCATTTGTGGGATCAGATTCCTTCCAAATTATGTCTTCTCACGTGAGAAATTTTCACATTGCTCAGTATCTCTAAAGCACAGCCTAATAGGAGACGATTTTCCCTGGAGAGTGTCTTGGGCACGTTTCTTCTTCAGTAAGTACGTCTTCTCTATTGTGCAGATGACAAGCCTAGGATAATGCAGGGTGAAAAGATCATTTCCCTCTGACCTTTTCTAAGGATGAGCAGAGAAGCAAGACAGTTTCTGCTAGTGTTTAAGCATCCTGAGACATCTAGACGTTTAGTTGTATTTCAGTTCTGCAATATAACCCTCACTGCAAAGCATCATTTTAATAGCTTTGATTATAAACAATTGATATTGTACCCCAGTAGTTAAAAACTTTGCTGCCCCTGGGGAGCCACACAATTAGAGGAATCCAGCCAGCAAACATTCCTTGCAAGATTTTTAAAAAGAGATCTTCTAGAATTAGGCTTCTAATTCCATATTTGGGCATGTTTGGGTGCCTACGACTGTTCTATGTACATGGATAAATATGGTACGAGGAGTTTTATGCATCCTCTTTTTCTTTGTTTCTAACATCCTGCCTTCTTTCATGAGCTCTAAATGAATTTGGTCAAAAGCCTGTACCTGTTGTCTGAGTGGGCAGCCCTGAATTCCCTTGTTTTTTTATCGTGAGAGAGGGAAAATATCTCTGAGCATGAGAGAGGACTTGATGCCTCACAGGAATTATGTCCTCAGTACTTGGGCCAGCAACATACGAGGGGCAGTAGTAGGACCAGAGAAGATCCACCATTGGCCATCCTGCGAAGAGACAGGTAATAGCAGATCTACGGGAGGTATTACTACTATCTTCGTTATTCCATTGAAGGAGACGTGCTGTTAAGACTGCTGCTGCAAAAAGAAGGGTTTCCAAACAGTAAAGGGAATGGGAAAAAATCCCCAGTGGTGAAGTGTCAGGCAATAGTCTGTGTTTGGGTATCTGGAGAGTGATACTCTGGGTACAATTTTGAAACGTAAGCTCCTCATTTCTCCAGGTGGATACTCTGATCAGCAGGTAAGGATCTCAGCAGCAGTGGAGGATGATGACCCGCTGTCAGAGGGAGAGTGATCTGTTGTATCAGAGGTGCACTCAAGGACTGTATAAGATAGTGGTTTATATAAGATTGTATAGCATCTGATAGGATAAGCAGTGCCCGCGAGCCCAGCCCTGAGGAGTGCACGCTGTTGAAGCAGAGCAGATTCAATATACCAACACTTGGATTTGTGTCTGTACATCATTAAAAATTGAATTTCTTCTCTCTCTAACTTTTCAATTCAAGAAAGTGTTTTGGGGCCTAGATCTTCCACCTCCTGACACACTGCATCTAGACCACCACAGCTAGTGGTAAGAGATGGAAACAGTCTGTAGAGAGAACTGAAATGAAGGATGAAGTTCACCTTGTTTAAGCCAGGAGTCACTCTTTCTGGCTGTGTTCACAGTATTACGACAGCTGCACTGTTTCTGCAAATTTTTTCCCAACTGGAGAAAATTAAAAAGAAACTTAAGAATTCACATCCATGAAAAAACACAGAAATGATGGGACAAATTTTGCAAATTTTCTCCGGGCTAAATAAGCAACTCTTAAACAATTACCTTGCTAAAGCAGTTCTAAATTCTGCTGAGCTGCCAACTGCACTTTGTGGATTCAGCTTTTCTTTAGAGGCATGCTAGTAGTCTGATATATGTAGATGACCCACCTCTCTGTCCCATGTAGATACAAAGCAGCATTCCTGGGCTGTTTTGTACATCCATTCTGGGCATCTCTGATTTCTTCCACTTAATTATTTCAGGAACTTCACCGAGCATGTTGTGTAGGTATACTTCGTCAGTGACAGATTAGCTTAGTTTTTTAATCACTTCTGAATACATAAGTGTAATTAATTGTACTCACAAAGACTTTGATTGCACCTGCAAAATTAAATGCTGACTTCTGCTCTGCCTAAAGAGCTCATTTGTAATTTGTTTTTCCTCAGGTTTGTCATCTGTTTGTGATCCTTCTGGTGAATTTGGTCACGTGCTAAGCTAAATAGGATGACAGAGTATTTGTGTGTAGCTGTAATCCTCTCCCTATCTTGACTGAGCACAGTATAAAATTCATGTATGCCAAAGGAAATAGCCAGTCAGCAGATCACACAGTAGACCTCCTCAAGTCCAGGCAAAAGGATTCCACGTCATTGCTGTGAGCAGTGAAGACCTCTTAGAGGTCTCTTGAGGTCAGAGTTGCTCACATGTGTGTTACTTCTTTAAGGCAATTAGTGAGGAAAAAAAATGGCAGTGTGGGTTCAACTTTCAGACCTGCACACCTAAGCATATAGATTCGCATTTCTTTTCTATTTTGCCTGGCAGTGATCCAAATCCTAGGAGACAGGCCGAACGAGCAGTTGCCTAGGGCAGATGGAGGGCAGGAGAACAGCCATTTCTTCTGCTTTGAGAGGATCCTGGAAAACCCAGTAGGCTGGTTTTGATTCTCTTACTGCCAAGGAGGAGGTCAGAGTGAATGGGAGGCTGGCTATGGCTGTAGCTCCTCCTGGAGCAGTGTTTGTGACATTTCAGGACTTCTTCCTAGTCTTCTGTCGGTCTTCCAACCCTTCCCATTCCTTGGTGCACTTCTCAGGGCAGATGAGGTTTGAAGCCTTGTGCTGCACTTTTAGCAGTCAGGAAGAGTTTTGAACTGCTAGAATTCTGCTGGTTTTTATCACTCCTCTAAATATGAGAAATCATATTGAGATCAGATCTAGACAAGAATTACCTATATTCCATCATCAGGATGGGCAAGAGAAGTTTTCTTCTGGAACAGCACAGGATACAGAGCTGGGTGTTTACATTTATGATCTTGACCCACTCTAACTTCACACAGAGAAAACATCTCTCCAGAATAATCTGCTTTTTGGTATTCCCACTGGGAGATGTATCTTATTATTTTGTGGGAGAAGGAAAGGATAGGGAAGCAAACTTAATTCTGGTAAAAACAACCAGATTCACCAACTCTTAAACTGATGCTCACTGAGAAGAGACAGATTGCTTGGTAGTTCTGCAAGCCTTTGTCGTCCTGGTCCTGACATGATAGTGCAATCTTTTTTGAGAAGGCCACCTCCACACTCGAGATGGCACTTCCGTCAGAAAGCTTATCTGGTCCTTGGCCTCCCTGCTGAAACTGCAGACAATGACCATTTATTGCCAGCTGTGATGGTAGGAGAAGAATTGTGCCCATCTGCCTGCAACAGGAACTGGACTGAGGTCACCAGCTCATTTCACATGGGATGGTAAATGGCCATTGGTACTAGTTCTTGAACTACATTTGCCTGAGCACAGGCTGGCATTCTACATGGGAGGTGGTTTGAATTGCATTAGCAATTTCCTGAGCTAGCTGTTCTCAATGGTTTAATGTTAGCAGAGCATAGAAATAAAGATAATTTAAATAAGTTGTAGAGTCATCTGAGACATGGTGTCACACACTGTACAAAGGAAAGAGACATGGAATTGCAGACCACGTAGACTAGGCAACCACAGTGTTTTCAGTTGTGCCATTAAAAAGCTAGGTAACAAATTCACTGCTATGCAGACAGTCAGCGTAAAGACATCATGCTAAAATCTCACATTGGTTTAGTTAGCTCTTCCTCCAGCCTGAGTCCATTTCAGAGAGACAGTGAGAGGGGACTGAGAAGACCCAAGCGGTCGTGCAGCTCATATGCGTCTAACATAAATGATCCACTTCAGTGCACAGTAGGAATTTCACTTTCTGTAAACAGGACTGTTTCATGACATTTTCCTCTTTCATTTCTAAAACAGCTGTTTGCAAGTTGTATCCTCACAAATATATAGTTCTCACTTGGAGTTGAGGGCTCAGTCCTTTGCAAAATTGGACCATTTGTTCTAGATTCTAAAATACCAGTTTAGGAGCCAACAATTGAAATGCTGGGGTTTGATTTATCAAACAGGCTTAATAATGCATAGATTCATTCAGTGACTTTTTTTTTGAGAGTTAATTTGGATAAGGCACTATGTCAGACCCAGAGAAAAGATGTTATTGAAGCAGAGAATATAACTGCTATTGATGGATTTTTTCTGAAATTCTTTGTACAGTTTTTATTATTATTGTTGGGGGTTTGTTGGTTTGTTTGTTTCACATTTTAGATAGAAAAATATAACTCCCAGCATGAGACAATTTGATTTTTCATTCTTGCCATGCTTGGAATAGCTGTTTTTGTCTTGTGGCTAAGTTTGGTCCCAGCGTTGAGTGTGATCTACCTTCAGGCCTGAGAAGCAAATTATTCTCTTTCTCATTTCCACCTTCATTGTCGTAGTCCCACGGGATGGGCTGAAGTGACGACAATGTGACAGGGGTGAAGATCACACAGGCATACTCGGTCACATACTTTGGCTTGAAATTAAGGCATCATCCTACTTTTGTTCTGCTGCAGTGCTGGTTTCATGCACAGCACAGAGTATTCAAAGCCTGATCCAAAGCCTGTGAAGTCAATGGAAATCATTCAGTGGGTTTTGGACCACACAGGAGGAAAGTACTTCACTGTCACTGTCGGAAACTCACCTCCATCTCAGTTTCTTGAGGACACTTCACATGGCACTCCTTAACATGTTGGGTAGGATTTTCATAATCCTAATATTATCCCACCAAAGTTGGTGGTAGGTTTCCTATTTGTCTTTGCAGGAGCAAACCTAAGACAAATATTAGGTGGAGTTTTGCTGACAGTCATCAGCAAGGGTAATGGATAATGCATTGAAGAGAATGACTTCATCTCTCATCTTTACAAACAGCAGCCCATATTATCTGCTGTGTGTGCCTTATGTAGTGATCTGCTTCAGCAGATGTAAGACTTAATGCTGAAGTACTCTTGGTCCAGTACTTCTCACAATCATTAAGCTTAGTTTTTAAAATATAAGCATTAAAACCTGGTTTAGAACCACAGGAGAGTCTCTAAATAGAGGTAGGTCAGCATTTCTAGAAAAAAAAGAATGCAGCATAGGTGTATCTTTCAGAGAGGAAGAAACAGCACCTCAGCCAAAAAGAAGGCAAAGCAAGCAGCCAGGTTCATAACTAAGCAACGTGGAATTCTTGTTCCTGTGCCCTCTGTTTTAGGCCTATATTCCCAATAGTGGTCTTTCATGAAACTATCAAATGTCTACCCTAGTTCACTTTCTGGCAGAATCTATTCGTTTTGCTTACACGTAATTTATTGTGTTTGTCTACCCAACTTGAGATTTGGAAAACATGTTTCATGTCAGATAACAGCCCTGAATACTGAAAGTCTGCAGTAAAACACTGGGTCTGAGTTTTTCAATATGCTGTCCAGTACTGTGGATGAAATTGCCCATAATTAAAAGTGTACGGAATTGTGAGTACTATTAATTACACTTACAATTAGCCCAATTTAGTTGTGATTTGATGTAAAATCTTAAAGACAGATTGAAACCTGGTTTAAAATTAGAGCCACCATCTCACTCTCCAGATGTCAGATTATTGTCAAACGGTTCATCATTGAATTAAATTAACCATATTTGTATAGATATTAATGGCTAACTGCTGGAGAATATTAAGTGGTAAAGAATATTAGAAAGTGTATGGTATTATACATAAAGGTTGCATGTGTATTTTATTTGAATTGACAATCAAATGTTGCAAATGAAAGGATTAAAAGAAGGTATTCATCTTTTCCTAAGCATTGGTACAAAAGTGGACACTCCAGCTGTTTTACATGTGTATCTAGCAAGGATACTCCATTCATGTGTCTGTCTTGCAAGAATAGAGAAAGCTGGGTGTGCTACACAGGGTGTGGAGCCTTTCTAGTGGAAATCAATCTAACCCGTTGTTTTTCAATCTCTTCCTTTCCTCCGCCCGTGTCCTGTCCCTCCCTCCCGCTTGCTAGGGAGTTTTCCAAAGAAAGAGAGAAGGCTAAGGCTCGGGGCGATTTCCAGAAGTTACGGGAAAAACAACAGCTAGAGGAGGATTTGAAGGGATACTTAGACTGGATAACTCAAGCAGAAGATATTGACCCAGAAAATGAAGATGAAGGCATGGATGAGGAGAAGCCTCGAAACAGTAAGCAATTTTCTTCTCTTTCTCTCTCTCTCTCTGTGCTTTTAGCAAGTGAGTCTGTGCCCACCTGCTGTAGTGCTGCGAAGGCTTCTGAGGAAGGACGAGTTCTTCCTGAGACTCTCACTAAGCTTATACATGATTGCAGTTTAACACCTGTAGGAAACAGTGGGAGGGAGAAGTATGCGTACAATAATTGATGTTGTTCTGCAGGTCCTCAGTTCCTTGTCTGTGATACCGACATAAAATCCTGATATTAAACAGAAAAAAGATAAATATTGCTGTTAAAGTCCACTACTGAGAGAAGTTTTAAAATATACATCTGTCTCCTATTCATTTATTTAGTTGCAGTTCAGTGTTGCAGGCTGTTTACACGTGGTTAATTACTTTGAAAGCAAAGGTTTCTAGGCAAAGCAGTGCTACGGTGTGGGACAAGGGCCAAATCAACCCCCTTGTACATTAAGCGGGCCATCTGCAACTCTGTTGAAATCAGTGGAATTGTGTTTGCTTTTGCCAGACTCTCAGCCATTTCTTGTGAGGGATTTCTCTTTTATTCTTCGGTTCTGGAGTTAAGAAGATGTTTGTGCAAAGTGAGAATTCACCAACTGTCTCTTTTTATTAGAAATCCTGAAGAAGGAAGGGTTTGAAGAAAGCAGCAATTCCCTACATTTCATTACCTTCAGTGAATCTTCTCCTTCCACCTTCGCTTTTACCAATACAGGCTGTGTCACGCTTCAGAAACACCTGGCACTTATCACTGCAGGCCGTGCACTTGGGAAGTGTTAGAGTTGGCACCTTTAGACAGTTACACAGTTAATGGATACTGGCTCTACTCTTAGCTTTCATTACAGAAATGTATGTTTTTCCTAGTTTGATTTTGGAAGAGAAGACATGAAATATTTCCCTAGAGATCGCCCTTCCTACCAAACAATTAAAATCCATGGAATGATCCAATCAGAAACATATATTCTAGTGATGGGAAGACTGGACATGGGAAAGTCGTGCCTACAGAGTATAGCAAGATTTGTATCAGATGCTCATGATCTTTTGGGGAGTAAGCACTACTCCGTGTTGCTGCCAGAACATTTAAGTTCTTTTAGAAAAAAAGTGTGGAGTCATTAATATCAGTTTATACCCATGATATTTAAGAACTTGGACTTGAAGGAGTCGCTGGCGTGACTTGCTCAGACTTTCCCCAAATCAGGTTGTTTTATAGTTGACTTTCACAATTTAACCTCAGTAATTGCTCAGAAATGAATTTATTATTCATTTCCAAAATTTGCTTCTCTGTGGCATATAATACATGGAAGGTGATGTCTGGTTATCAAAATTAATTTATTTGTGGACAGAATTTCCTCTTCAAAAAAAAAAAAAAAACCCAAAAAAGTACCACAGTGAGCTTTTGTTGATATACTTGTATGACATCTGAGTGGGGAGGCCAAGGACTTGGTTGCACACAACTCCACTGAAGTCACCAGGAGACTTTCCTTTGACTTCAGTGGGAATTGGGTCGTGTTTATCACATTTGCTCTTAGAGACACACCTGCGAAAGAGAAGTGTAGCCATAGTGGTGAGGTGGTGTGATGAGAACTTGCCTTGGTTACTAGCAGATCTGAAGTTTGGGTGGTTTTTTAATTATCACAAAAATAATGCTGCTTTGGTAAAAGAGTTGTGGGATGTGTCAGATGTAGATTCATTTATGGTGTGTGCTGTGGGGTGGGGTCAATCCACATTGTAGCTAACAAGCTCCTTGTATGGGTAGTGATGTTAAGAACTGAAAGATAACTTACCTTCAGCTTGCTTTCAGTTCTTCCTGTTCAGTTTAATAAGGTGAGTTTTGTAAGACGGTTTGTAAAATTAGTCCTCTTGCATCTGACAAGTCATCTAGAGTTTCTCACAGTTTGTTAATGGCAGAATGACAGACGATTGGCAAGCTAACTTGTTACCGATTTCTTTTTCAAACTGTGCACGAATACAGTGTGTGCAGTGCCATTGGTTCCGAGCGTCAGGTCTAAGGGCAGCAGTTGGTGACTCGTCCCTAGTACACAGCACGTCATTCTCTGTGGCAGTGTGGCTTAGCATCACATTATCTGCTTTTGTTACATGACAGCCCGGGCTTGGGAACAGATGTCTAGAGTGCCTAGCACTAAACTGTAGGATTCTATGCTGCTGTTGAGAGGAATTGCTCAGGATGTGAAGGAAGGCTGTGGACTGATTTTCGCCATGTAATGGGGACAACGGTCGTGCTAACAAAAGCCTCTGCACAAGAGGATGGCATAGACCAAGCAAACAGGTCACTCCATGAAGTTTAGTTGCCTGTTCTTCTGACATATGTGCCCCATCTAGAGCAGGCTGTTGATAACAGTATTCTTCTTAGCACCTGTGGCCTGCATCTAGGAATGCCAAATTAATCCTTCTTCTAGCTTTGGTATACTGTCCGGTGCTGTACTTTGGTCTTCCCACCACAGGCTTTTCTGACTATGGAAGAGTCTGTGTGTTGTCATCCTCTGGTGAGGAACCAAATAGCCTCTGGGTACCCACTGAAAAGAGCAACACTCCCTTACCCCACCCTGAAGCCGGTAAAAATACCTGGATGGATGTCCCCACCAAGCAAAGCTGTGGAGCTTACACTCTGGCCATTTGTATTCCATGAACTGCATTAATTTTTCTTTTCCAGTAGGCTGTTGTAGTTACTTTTGCACAATTGTGGGTACCATATTGTTGAAGCTCTATTGTATTTCCTGGTATTTCTGAATTTCAATCTTTATTCACATAACAAGTGAGAATGTATTTTCTAAACCAAATAGCTTGCAGATGTCCTCTCCTAAGATGTCATGCTCACTTGATTGGTTGACATGCTTATCTGTCATGCATGTCACATGGGAAGAAACTCCTGGTAGATTTACTGGACCTACCTATGTGAGTCCCCATATTGTTTATCCTACTGCCTACGAACATACCTTCTGCAGAACGATCTCAACCCACTCAGGTTCTGGAGTGTAGCTTACTAACCAGCTCTGACAAGGCCTGTCTGCTCTTGTGGAGCTGAGTCCCACTGCAGCTGTACTGCTCTTGGGGCTTGATAGATCTGGTAGCAAATGTGTTGAATGAACACTGTGTAAAAAAATCAAACCGAGAAGTAGAGACCCTTTCCTTAATGGCTTCAGCTTAAGATAATACTACGTAAAAGGTACCATGAGTAAGTGACCGGGTGTTTTGTTTGGGTTTGGTTGTTTTTGGTGTGTTGTCCACTGTGTTCAATGTTTTGGCATTCATGCTAGCAGTCAATCACCAGTAGGGTTAAACTGAGGCAGAAAGATAGTATTAATTCTCTTCCAAAAACCGTCTACAGAATAAGCTCCAACTATAAGGGACAGATGGCACAGCTGTAAATGCCCTAAGGAATCCCTTTGGCTGGAGTGCCCCTAAGACATTTGAATCCCACCTACTAGCGGTGCTGAGCTTGCACCACTCCAGTGCCTTCTTTGTCTACTTGTGTTTAGCTCTTTCTGAAAGCGCTCAGTTGCCTCATTTGCAGCTTCAGCATGCTTTTCTCTCAAGTGCTCTTCATCGTTTGCTGCCTTCCATCTCTAGTACAATGTCCTGAACTCTACAGAAGAGTGTTACTGCCCCTTTCCAGCACACTTCGTTCAGTGATTAATTAATTGTGTTGACTTTTAAGGTATCAGCCCTGAGCCTTTCAGATAACAATTCACTGAAGTGCACAGGGCAGTTCAGACCTCTTTAAGTTGTTTTAGCTCAATAAACTTCAGGGGTTGCCTTTGCATCCATTAAACTGTGCTGATGCTCAGGAGATACTGGCTCCTGCCTGACCTCTGACAGTGACTCACACCATTACTTTAAAGAAGTCACATCAGTATTTACCTCCTCAGTTTCCCCTTGGAGATTGTTTGGAGGTTTGGGGTGTTTTATAAAGAAAACAAGAAGATTTCAGAAGTTTAATTAAATTATACTTATTAAACTAGAGTCTCAGCTAACGTAAACTCTGAGATTCAGCAGTTCACACCATCTGGGCTCTGATGCAGGTAGCCTGGGAACTGCCTCCTGTAAAACAGAGAATGCAGGGTGGAAGGGAAGAGAAATTCACTTGCATCCCCATTTGGTTTGGCTGCCTGTGCCGGTCCTTAGGGCATCATTAGTCATATTTCGTACATGCCGCTGCTTTCCTGAAACTGTCAAACCTTGCCCTAAGTCTCATTGGGTGTTTACAGCCCTTCATGAAATGGTCAACAAGTCCAGGGACTACAACAGTGAAGATTATAGTGGAGGAAAGGATAAGAAAGGAAGATAAATGCAGCCGGACAATCAGAGCTAGAGTTAGGGTTCAGAGTCAGAGACACTCTTAGGGTTCTTAGGGTTCATTGTCCATTGTCCAACCTAAAGACCGTATGGTCATAAGACATTGACCTAAGGATTCGTAAGACTGAACACTTAGGGGTCAGAGTCGGACAATCTTCAGCTGTCTAGTAATGGGTCAGCTGTGCTCTCCATAGCAGAGGTCTTGGTGGTGTTCTGAGGAAGTTTATTACCAGTCATCTTTCACATGCATTGAGGGGCAGTCACAGAGCAGGCTGAATTCATTTTCTGTGTTTTTGAAAGTACATGTTTAAGGCCGTTTTTCCTTGTTGTTTGTAAGCATGATTTTGCCATTATGGCAGATGTGAGGTGGGAAATGTGAAAAGGCTCCTGTTATGTTGATGGTTTTCTTCTGTGCTTTTTCCCTGATGGGCCTTCTGCACAGGAAGAAAACGTTAATTTGACAGAGGAAACACATGTCGTGGCACAAAATGGCTACTATATTTCAAAATTACGTGATAGCAAAGAGAACCATCCTTCCTGTTGCCACAGTAACTGGGAATTTGCCCTTTTTTTTCTTCCTGAGCGTGGTCTGGAATGCATCCGCGTTGCTGTGGGCAGAAACAGGAAACCTCAGTCCAACCCAGATTCTCCTCCTATTGAAATTAATTGGCAAAACTCCCATTGAC